GCAGAAAACAGATATGTTATGCCTTTTTTGCCTGCCAGATGATAAAACAGATGAAAAGATCCCATAGACTTACATTAAAGAAGGGACCAGAGTCATAGAGCTTCATTGAGACTTTTGGTGAACTCTTTTGTAATCAATGTAATCAACCACCTAGCACCTACCCAGAATACCCTGCAATCTCATAGCAACATGCTCAAAACTTCCTAGAACATATTAGCAACTGAAAAACAACGTTCTGACAACCATAGCATTAGCAAACATGCATTCAGTCTCCATTCTGGTATGTAACAACCACATTTTCACAAAGCAATTACATCTGATGGGCAGAATTAAGTCCCGAATATTTTTTCTTGTTGAATATTTTGTTTCACACAATGAGGAAGTAAAATTTGTGTTTTCTGTTCAAAAACCCCTACTGTTCAAAAGCTAGGGTTGTTTTTAAGGAAGTCTCATGCTCATCAAGAAAAAGGAATGCCATAAAATAAGAAAGGAAATATTGATAAATATTATTACAATCTAAAATCACTGCTTTCTATATTCAAACTGTTTTCACAATCTGAATATATTTTTAAATGTAATTTTTATTGCTGTGATCAAAGCTGAATTTTCAGCATCATCCAGTCTTCAGTGTCACATGATCCTTCAGAAATCATTCTAATATGCTGATTTGCTGCTCAAGAAACATTTCTGAATATTATCAATGATGAAAACAGCTGCTTCATATTTTTATGGAAACCATACATTTTTATGACCCTTTGATGAATAGAAAGTTCAAAAGAACAGCATTTATTTGAAATAGAAATGTTCTGTAACATTATAAATGACTTTACTGTCACTTTTGATCAATTTAATGTGTCCTTGCTAAATAAAAGCATCAATATCTTTCAAACCAAATCTTACGGACCCCAAACTTTTGAACAGTCATATTCACAACATTACTAATTTTAGGGCAACAGTGATACTTACACAACTAAACCAAATGGTAAAGAATTGACCTGAGAGGAAGTTGGGACAATGAAAACCTGACAGCAAGAAACAAGCAGCATCTTCACACTCAAATTTCGATGGACTTCATCCCTGACACTGTCTCGAGGCTGACTGGCTGCTGCCTCCAGGTTTGTGTGCATCTGAGACGGCATAAATGTCCCATTCATCGCAGAAAGAGGCGACGAGGGACTCAAGAGGATCAGCCATTGGTCAGAGCCGCCGGTTTTTGGATTGATGAACTGATGGTGACGGATGAGGGTAATAAAGAGCTGGATGTCCCTCCTGTTACCAGCGAGGAACCAGTATGAATCACCCATCTGAGGCCGTACGGAGCAAGAGAAAGATGCAGAGGCCAGCCTTGCCCCCCTCGGGCACATGTACATACGATGAAACGCACACACAAACTCGGCCCCAGCAGTCATGACTTCCACAAAGCAGCAGAGCAGAACTGTCATACAAAACAACACGGTTCTCAAAAGAGGAGACACCAACAAAGAGACCATCATCATTCTGGTCTGAGTGAAATGATGGTGACAGGACTTCCAGGGCTGTGTTCGCACTGTTTTGAAATGTTTTGACATTAGTCATGATCGACTACTGTAAACAGATGGCAAACACGGGGAAAAGCGACGCTGTATTTTTTTAGGCAATATCTGTAGGGGAGACCAGAATTGGTTGGCACAATTTTCATTCTTCTCTGGAGGAACAAACATTATGATAACCCAACAAAGTACAAATGAACACGTAAAGAAAGAGTTCAGCCAAAATGAAAATTCTGTCATCATTTATTCACCCTCATGCTTTTCCAAACAAGTGTGATTTTCTTTCTTCTTTGGAACACAAGAGGAAATGTTAGCTAGTATGTTAACAGTGCACTTTTCCATACAATGAAAGTGAATGGTGACTAGGGTTAACTCCAAAAATGACCCAAAAAAAGCAGGATAAATGTGGTGCTTATGACTAATATTCAAAACCTTTTCTCAAAACCACACAAGAGCTTTGTGTGAATATCACAACTGTATTTCCTTTTACTGGAACTCTCTAATCTGATTTGTGGGTTTGAAATATGCTTATTTTCACATTTCAGCTTTCATTTTCATTTATGTCAAGCCTGCTTTGGCACAACTTGATGTGTCATATTTGAATATGTGTGAATGAGATATGGCAGAGATACTTATCAAGGAATAACTGAAAACTCCAGTCTGTTTCTCTCACAAATATATTATCTGACCAGTGCTGTTTTGTCAACTAAAACTATTAAAATATTAAACATTAGATTAAGAACTTAAACTTAAAAAATATAAACAAAAATATTTAAATCAAAAATATATATATTTTAAAAGAAAATTACAAATATTGCCTTGGTAAATAACTGAAATGTGTTTAAAAAAATAAAAATGAAAAACTTTAAAATGAAACCTAAAAGTATAAAATTACTAATTTTAACAAAGCTAATTCTAAATATGAATAAATACTGTAACTGTACAGTAAATAATACTAAAATAATACTGCATCTGATTTCAGAAGAATTTGAATATACCACACTATTTGTACTGACTACTTTTAAGGAGCTTTTTTGTTATTTTTGATACATGACAGCCACATCATTCAGTTTCATTGTATGGAAAAAGAGTAAAACTTCTTCAGTAAAACTTCCTTTGGAAAAAAACACATCATACACATCACTGGTTTGGAACTACATAAGGGTGAATGAATAATTTTATTATCTAATAATTTGTTTTTAAAACCAATTTTGTTATTATTATTATTATTATTATTATTATTATTGTGATGTATTTATTTTTGTATTTTTAGGTTAACCCTAACGATTATTTTAACAGACACATTGAAATGTAGGAAATCTTTTGCTGTATTTTATAAAGCAAAAGATGTTATAGCAATATGTTACCATGGTGTGGAATTGTCAAACTAACCAACACCAAAACAGGGATGGATGCAGTGGCGGCTGGCCAATAGAGGGCGCTAGGGAGCCGCCCTCCCTGAACCCCACACACAAAATAATAATTGTATAAATTATTTAAGGGATTGCCACAATTTTCAATTATGTGACAATGGCGGGTTCAGGTGTCATTAATTCCGGACACGAACCTAACTCTGTAAAGTCTCTACTCCAAAGTCCGTTTGAGAAGAGAACTTTGGCAGAAAAACTGAAGATAAAAGAGCTGGGTCCAGATCAGCCTGACCTCTTAATCAGACAGCAGACAAGCGAAAAAGGGAAGAAGTACACGCAAAGCTACTCTTCCTGTTGGTACACCAAAAAGGCCTGGCTATGTGGGTGCGTTTCTGCTAATGCCTTATTAGAATGATTGCCACAGAGCACATCAATTTATTTATTTATTTTTTTAATTATTATTTATTAACTTTTTTTTGGACCAGGGTCTCAATTCCATTTCTGTGTGGGGACAGTGCATCATCTGACCAGCAGTACCAGCCCAAAAAGCGACAGAGGACACTGGGACCAGGAGAACAACAGAGGCTAGCTACAGAGGTAAAAACACACACGCGCGCACACACACACCAACAGACAAAATATGGCATATAGATTATAATTATTATAAATAAACAGATGGTTAAATAATTGCAACGCTTGCTGTAATTGTTTGATGTGCCAATGTGCCACCTCAAAATTTTTTCACCAGCCGCCACTGGATGGATGGCACATTTACAGTGTTAAAAGCCTTTAATTCTAAGAGAAAAGCAAATTGAAAAGGTAATTTATTTAAACCAAATTTACAGAATTCTATAAATAAAGATTCATTTATGAAATTAAATTGTAACAATCTTTTATAATGGTCTTAGCACTTTTTCTACTTAAACAGCCAACAGGGAAATTTCAGATATCTTTTTGCTCCTCGAGATTAATTACTAAATCATCCACATTATGGACTGGAGTGGACCAAATATATATATATATATATAAAATAAATAAATTATTGTGCAAGTAAATATTGTGCTAATGTGAATGTCAGAAATGCACTTATCACTGGTTCCTATTTCTAACAAACACTGCCATATTTTAAATATCTCACATTATCTAATACGTTTAGCCGAGGGGGGCTCATTTGGACCAAATATATATATATATATAAAATAAATAAATTATTGTGCAAGTAAATATTGTGCTAATGTGAATGTCAGAAATGCACTTATCACTGGTTCCTATTTCTAACAAACACTGCCATATTTTAAATATCTCACATTATCTAATACGTTTAGCCGAGGGGGGCTCATTTTTGTTTTGACCTAGCAAAATTTGAAAAACTGTCTTCAGCTTGACAGGTTTTAATTTTCTAATGTCTTGATAGAATCACTGAGTGTGGATCAAGAGGGCAAAAAAATAAATAAAAAAATCACATTTTTGTGACAGCACCCAATTATGAACTTGAAATTAACCCTCTGCCAAATCAACTGTTATATTCAATCCACACATGCACTAAGAAAGGTTATTAAATATGTACATAACATATGTACATTCAATTTTGGCAGTAGCCCTTTTTAGCTTTTGCCCAATTTGTCAAATTTATCAGATTCGCTTGACCAGTGTCTGGTTGCTTTGCTACAGGCCACTGTGTGGATCTTTGAAGTTCATTTTAACTGTTGTAACAATTAGGAAACAACATAAAGTGATATTGTGATTACAAAATATTAATCATCATCTATGTGCATGAACAAGTCACAATCAAGACTTTAACCCCAGACTATCTGCAATATTCACAATTCAGCAGTTAAGTGAAATCAATTTAAAATGCCGAAAAGTAATAGTCAGCAAAAGCTGCAACACTCAAAAAAAAAAATCCATCAACTTCAAAAACTACTGGTCATCTCTCTACCCTCTCTTAAAGCTATCAAGCCTTGCAGGAATAAGAAATAAAAATGTCAAGGTTTTGCAATCTTTTTCTCAAGAGCTTTATATCTGTCAAGACAAACAAGAGAGTTCAGATCCACTTCAGCAGCTGAAAATGTTGCGTTGTGCGTGGATGATACAGTCTTACCTCACCACAGGTCCTGAGATCCAGGTCTGTTATTCCAGAGCGATGAATCTTCTTTTGCCTATGTGAAGTATCTTCAGGCTTAGTTGGGTGGCTCGACATCAATAAAACATCCGTGAACTGAATAACTCTTCTTCTCAAAATGGATGGGCTTGCCATAAAACCTGACCTGCATTTATAAGACAGGGCTTGCTCAGTTCAAAATCTTACCAGACAGAGATACTGATTATTTCCCAGCACCAATATATCTTATATCGGTCATTTTATTCCAACTAAATGCACAAACATTAATTCTTTTTAGGATGAAATGCAAAAACAACTAATCTAATGGACTGTTTCATCTATAGCAGAATTTACTAAATCAGCATATTGTGTTAGAAACATTAACAACTATAAGAAATGAGCAAAAGATAGACAGACAGACAGACAGACAGACAGACAGACAGACAGACAGACAGACAGA